GTTAATTCTCAAGTCCAGGTAGAGAACGGGCTTCAAAAACAACCTCTTCCTACACGCGGCATCAAATGGCATCCAATTACCGAAGATAATATATATATATATAACAAGGTATTCATGTACAGATTAAAGAAAGATATATATGACAGCAAACAATAAAAATATATTGTAAATATATGGTTCATAGTTTTATTCTTTATTTATGCAAGGCTCATCTATAAATCTGCACGGAGAGAATGACAGATTTCTGTCATATAGCCACTACATATCCTTTCAACTCACTAACGAATTTAGTTTATAATAATTAGGTGATGATAATGGCTTATTAGTTGTTTGTATTTAAGAAGCGGAACGTTTCGCACTGCTTCTCTCAACGAATAAATAAAAGATATTTGTAGCTTTGAAAAACGACTTGAAAGAGTGCAATACAGGTTCTCTATTCTGAGTTCTAACTATCCATAGTAAGCACTCCTTGTGTCTAAAATAAATTTTCTTCCACGGCTACTTGCAGTTACTGATAATACGGTATATATAACATAGACTGATAATTTCGTTAAACTTGAACTTTATTGCAAAACTTTTTTGTCGGTTTCTGTAGAAAATCTCAGCGTTAACCGCCGCGTCCAGTATTATATGGCCGTCTTGTTATAACTACCGACTATTTTTAAGCTTTGCAGCCCGCTTTAGATGGTTACGACAGATTGAAAAGACCAGAGTTTTTTTTCAAGCCTGGATCTAAAGCACACTTTTTTAGAAATGAATAGATTAAAGCTGTAGAAATTTTAAATAACTAGAAGCCACTTTATTCTTGTTCTGAGGAGCTTAAAATATCATCCTCAACCTTGCTGTTTGTACTTCAGTAGTCATAACCAGCTATTTGAATAGCAACATTCACTCTGGGTGCAGAATGATTAATATGAAAACATAGAGTTTCACACGCACGATGCCTCGCGCTATTTTCAGAGCCCTGCCTCTCGTCCGGGATTTAATTAACGTTCCATCACGACGATGGTCGACGTATAAGATGACAACTGAAGGGGATACGAACTCATCTCAACTGACCAGTTTTAAAATGTCCGCGCCTGACTGCATGGACGGTTCAGCTGTTTCTGAAGTCAAATACCATAGAGCTAGCTTTTGATTTTATACTTATGTCAGGTTTGCGCTGCTAATCTCATACTCACCAAACAAAGCGTGTAGGTCCTTCACGCAACAATCGGAAATGAATATGTAAAGGCAGTTGGTAGGGAATAAGCGGTTTAGTACAGTAAAGCAGCTTAAAAGTTTAAGCAAATAGAAGGCACGGCTTATCAGTATGAAGAGTTTTCTCACCTGAAAACGAATTATAATAATAAAATTCGAGTACGTAATAAATTAAGGAAACATCCCATCTTAATACAATTTTTTCCAGGAGGCGGAATTTTTTGAATATTGGCATATCTACGTAATGCGTGACTGTCCGTTTTCCACCGTGTTAGATTATATAGATGATAAACTGCTGATAGCTGTGACCGGACTCCCGAAATTCTTCTTGGTTAGAGCAGTACAGGAAGAGTATGAAGAAGAAATAGCTTGCTTGTAGAATGTAAATTAGTAGGTCGAAAAAGGACCGTGTTCGTCAAGTTACCGTCAGAAAGGACTACAAATGCAGCTCAGTTATGTACAGTAAGTGAAGTTAAGTTGACCTTATGGATAACTATTGCATAAAAACAATATAAAAATCTATTTTGCTTCTAGCAGTCACTTGTTTTAGCAGACTTCAAAATGTAGTCAATTTTTTTCATCCATTATGTTTATCCGTTGATATGATAACGCGCGTTTGGTAACAAAAAACAAGAGCTAAACACGTTTTCGAAAATATCGGATATTGCAGAGGCTATCCAATGAAATGCATGTCAAGCTATCAAGCTAGTACTACGATGTTACTGAGCATGCTTATTTGAATACACGAGTTAGGAATCACTCGATTAGTCCAGGAGGGCCTATTGCTCGATTACTTTGGTAGTCCGACCAAACAAGGTTCAGTTTTTTACGAATGTAAGCAAAAAGCCTCGTACGCAAAATGCTTTTTGATTTTTCCTAATATTTTTTAGTAAAAACCTTTTCCACTGATGTAGTCCTCATTGTATGCTCCACGCTAAGCTAGGCATACCCAGCACTTTCAGTTTACTTTTTAGTTTTACTGTTTTTCTCTTTCGGATGAAGCGTACATTACAGTTAGCCCTCATCAATATTGCCACCCCATAGCCTAGCTACCGCATGTATAGAGATATTTGATTGTGTTTCACTATTGTCCTTTAAAACTAAGGCTTGTTTCAGTATTCACTAGCCTCGTTAATAGTTAGTGGGCACTGAATATAAGAACAGGCCTTTGGCTTTATCCGCATAGTCCATAAAAATGTGGCCACAAAAACTTCTTGAACCGCGCCATATTAAAAATTAAAAGATTGACCATAATTAATAACGATTATTTCTTCTAGTTATTTTTTAAAGAGCAGCTTTATTATCATTGAAAATTTTGCAGAGCGTTTGAACACGCGAATTATAGTGACGCTCTGAGCCATGTAACTCGTGATTTTTTCATTTTTATAAGATTTTTCACCAAAATCGATCCAAATCTTAAACTTGCGCCAGCCTGTTACATCAATTCGACTAAAAGAATCAGTCGTTTGCGTTATTTCGGCAAAGCTTTTATACAAAGTAAGACTAATTATTTGTTATTATACAACTGAAAATAAGTTTGTCAAATGTAGGGTGCTATTCTTTAAATTGGATTTTCTATAAACAATTTTTCTGACAGTTCTACTATCATCTTTAAACCCGGCATAAGTAGTCAAGTAAATTAAAGTACTTCACCGTTTTATTAAATATGTACAAAAATAATGTCAGTTTTTTCATCTTACAAAAAAGTGGCGCTTTACTCAAACTCTAGCGACAAATAAATGTATGGCATGCCCTCTCGCACCTCTCAACCAATTTATTCATTGCCTCCGGCTAAGAATTGTCAGGTATAGTGTCGAAGAAGTCGTTCCGTCATCATTATCAAGCGTCAAATTTGAGTCTTGCAGTAATTAAAAAAAGCATTTGTCAGCGCGGGATCTCAAGAAACAAGAACCTACTCAAATTTTTGCAAAGTGACTTTAACGATTCCTGTTTTCTGTGGCCCTGGGTTGTCGTGGAAAAGGATGATTTTGCTTTGTCTTTCAAGCCTTTTCCTTTGGAAAGCTTCGTTCAGTGGATGTAACTGGGCCATACTTAGATTTTTGTCTATCGTTTTCTGCTTGTCAAGCCCATTTCGGTGTATAAAATAAGTCTAACCCCACCTAATACAAAGTGTTGTTTTTTTTTTTTAGAATAGATGTATGATTTAACTTTATGCTCCGACATATTTTCCGGAACTAGCCGTTCTTTTCGTTGTTTCATATCGACGTGGAAATCTCGCATCTTGTCATCCATAACAATTCTGTAATGAAAGCTCTCAGTGTGACTGCGCGTTGCTCATTGCCAAGACGCTGAAGATCAATAAAAAGCGGTGTTTTCTGGTCCGCTTTGCCCATTCTATGCTGCTTTCAGATTCTCTATTTCTGATAAAAATTGCTTACATCAACGACACCTGTCGATGCTCGAATGTTCGCCGCTTACTTTCGTGGTCAATAAACTCATCGAGCTCGAAAGGCCGGTCAGGATGGGATGCATCCTCTAGATCCAAGATCTACCATCTACCAAACCATTCGAGCAGTCATTTTAGTCATATTGTCCTTGTTCTACATGACAGAGAATCCCATGCTACTTCGACAGCTGTTTGATTCCAGCTAAATAGACTAATTGTTAAAGATACGCTTTTTCCCTTTAGAGACATCCACACTTGAAGGCTAAAAACAGGTTAAATTTCGTTCAACACATTGCAAATACAACGGGCTTGTAGATAAAAGTTACCCCAAATGTAAAAGTTATTATATTTGGAAAACTATTAGAGGACTGCAGGACAGGATAAGCACTGGTGTCATTACAAACGCCTCTTACGATGCTGGAAAATTTCGTGGTCGAAAATGTCCATTGTCCATAACTTTAACTTTGTAGCATGTTGTTGGTTTTTAGTAGTTGCAATTAGAGAAACCGCTACAACAATTCTCTCGTTTTGAGAGAAGTTAACCCCTATGCCAGGTAATCTCGTATCAATTTAAACCGGATACTTATGACTTAAATAATACCGGTTTGTTTTTACCATTTTCTCTCTTCGTACTATTTCACCGTTTGTTTACTTCCATCTAAGCTAGAAAGGGTTACATTTTTTTTGTTACAGTGAACGGAATTTTGCGTTGAACTCAGGCTCCAAAGATGCATTTTTCACACTTATTCTATTTTGCCTTTTGCCAAGGCTAAAAAAACAGTCAAAGCAGCGTGAAATATCTTCGTTGTGTGCAACGGGAATTGTATAACTTACAAGACTATTTGAAGGGAAAGTTAAGCTCAACGAAGGGACTTTAAATTTAAAAGATATATCCCATCCTGGTGAACAATCCATAGTCAATGAGGACCTCGGACGGCAAACAATTCGTTTATTGCCCGAACAGAAAATCTGGGAACGGGATACTGTCAAATTTTTCAGATGTATGTAATTTTGTCAAAAACCAGAAACCTTGATGTAATATGGACCCTACAAAGCACACAAAAAAATACGGCTTTTTGTCGATCCCCAGCATTTCGCCCCCCACTAAGCAACCTATAGCTACGATAACAGGTTTCTACACAGAATTGTTACGAACGATTGAAAATGATGTTTCTCATGTGATCCAGAAAAAGATATGAATAGCTCCAAGAAATATACCCAAGTTTCCAATATAACCTAAATTTCTATCCCAAAAAACATTACCTGAATAGTCTTATATACCGAAAAATGCTTGAGAAGGATAAGACAATCAACAGGTCTATATTCGGCCCATGTAAATTAGCCGAACGGAACGATATAATTCTATGTATACCTGCCAAGCCAATTCACGTCACTACTTTTTTTTTCCTCAAAGACAACTCATAACTGTTTGTCAAGTCACTGCATAACGATCAGCAAGTTTTTGCTGAGTTTGAGCCAAATTTTAGTTCGGCAATGTTTTACTTTTTTTTATTGAAAAGTTTTCAGGTACACCTTAGCCACGGATCGTCATCCAGCTAATTAATCCAGTTTGTTTTTTGAGTGGTATTCATTCGTATTTGCAAAATAAAGCGCATGCAATGCCTTAACTGAGAAAAAACTTCTCTGAGACTCTATTCGAATGTTTATTTTAGCACTGTTTGATAAAGATTAACAATAAATAGCCCTAGCACCTTAAAGCATATAAAACAGTACCTTTGTTGTACAGAGTGAGTATTGTAACAGCCCAAATTTAGACCAGGGATTCATTTGTATGCAAATATATATATATATATATATATATATATATATATATATATATATATATATATATATTCGCATAATATAAAAAATATATAGATTTCTCTCGATTTAGAATACAGCATAATAAAAATTGTTGTCATACCAAAACAAAATTCAGATGTTAAGAATCGTATGATTAGCTAAGCAATGGAAAAAGTTAGAGGTTAGCACGCTGAAGCATTTCTCTTTAGTGCTTTTTCTTTTGAGCTTTCGGGGATCATTACAAGACACCACGTCGTATAACTATGCTCCCGATGTACGATTTGAACTTATTGTTGCATGTTAACAAATAACACTAAATACTTGGGGGTTAAAGTCCGTCAAAATCACACTAAAGTTTTCATTAATGCTGGAGAAGCCGTTTTTGGCGCTGCCCAGTTTAAACTCTAAAGATAATAGGGTTGGCATTTACGCGCAAGAAGTGGCCATACAGCGATCAGCTGAGAGGATCAGTAAGTAGACCTGTCTGTCCCTTTGTAATGTTCTGTTATTGCTTACGTCGCGTGCTCGTCTTGCACATATAGCTGTCTGACATTACAAAGCTTGTCGAGGCATTTGCACCATTTTATTCGAAACACTGAGTAGGTTCATTTTGATGCGTTTTCCTAGCTACTTTCTATATTTACGAAAACGAAGCTCCGACGCCCAAAGTGTGAAAACTTGGTTCTGTTACATTTATTTACGTAACCTGCTTTGACGAGAACCGTTGCTTATAACGCTTAAAATGTCTGTCAAGCAAAACAGATAGATCTCGGATGCAATCTTGTACGAGGCAACACTTAACGCTTCGACGTTAGCGTAGGCTTGAGCAGAGACAGTAAGTTAGAATCCAAATGCACCCTTTTCTTGGGGAACATTTTCGTATGAAAAAATAATTCGTGACGATGTTATATATTTTGTCGAAAAAAACAGTGATCATTAAAATTAATTAATAGGCGTTTCTCATTGTTGCTCCGAATTTGTGATAGCGTTATCTTTTTGCATTCGGAAATAAATCAGCATAAGTTTAATGAAATAGTTATCAATGTAAATTTATAGTATATAGATATAGCGTCTGAAGCGAAATTGAACGGCATTACCGGAAGTGAGTTTTTTTTTTTATCTAATTTCAGTTTCACGTGTTTAGTTTCAATAAATATAGCACTACAACTTTAGCTTAGGACGACAGGTAAATAACAATTTTTTGGAAGTATCAGTTGCTTCCCAGCAAATTCACATTGAGGTAATAGGCCTTTAAGGTTATATATACACAGCCTGAATGTTTTAGTCGACGAATTTGAGGACCGCTTTCTTTGTGCAACGTAATGCACAGGTCTGTGGGTTTTTACTCTAGTCTAACATATAGTATTTAAATATACTGCATAGGTATTTGTATCTACAAAAAAATTAGCTTTACAGACTAGCTCATTACAACCATCGTGTAGATATATACTAATATTCCGACATCTCCTGAAAGTTTTACTAACTATTCGGTCGATTATTTCTTGTTTAGGTTCAACAGGTCAATATCAATTACTTGTTTTAATCTACTCTTTTAGGCTTTATCATAAATAGAAATAAGGAAAGCTCTTTATCTAGATTTAGAAAATTGATACACATTCGAAAGCTGTTTTTCTGAGATGATAAGGAGTTAAAGCACAACTGTATATAATGTTTTCATACGTGAATGATTTAAAATATTTTCACTGCTCGGTATCATTTTCCATATAGTTTAAAGTAGAACAAATATTATTTGCTAAAAAATGCTTAAATTTCTAGTAGAATTAAATTATTATCATTATTATCTGTTATTACAGTAGCACGGCGCGCTAAATTAGAAAGTATTCTTACCGTTTGAGTGACAATATTTTTCCCCATGTATGGAAAATCCGAGTAATGCAAAAATAATAAAATTGTATAGTAAAGTTCCGGGCTGCTTTTCCTTCCTTATAACCAAAAAAAGAGGATAAACCGTATGCATTTTCCAGCACAATCGTCTCTACAGAGGATGTGATCATTGTGCCGTAATTTTATTGAGGCCTATTGGCCAGAAGCCTTACGGCGGTACGTATAAGGTTCACACACACACATGCGCCGACCACGTGTATATTCCTCAGCCCTTTGAAAAGGTTAAAAATTACCCACAGTGAATTATCGGTTTCGCGATCTCAGAATACAGCTCCATCGGGTCAGGTAAACTCTGTGGTTCCTAACTTGTTAGCTACGATCATATGTGTGGCTGCGTCCTGCATTTTACTCCTGTTAAATTGGTGATACATTTTCTAAATAGGACTTCCGTAGCGATCCTATTTTGCCATGAAGAGCATTACTCGTCATAATATGCTTGGATAGACATCTGAGAAAAGTTTCTCGTACGACTCTCTCTCTCTTTCATGTGCCTGAAATTTCATCTAATGAAGCATCCAAACAGTATATAATGTGAATTGGAAAAAAAAACAAAGCTGATAGTCAACCGTTGCATTACGTAGTCATATTGTACATATTACCTGAAGTACATCTGCGCACATTATTTCAGGGTCTCCAATAGACAGACGCCTATTGTTTTAAATTACTAGGAATCTTTCATTTTACTTTCAGGTGTTCACAGGGTGTTTCTTTATTTGTTCGTCTCACACGCGGTCAAAATGGCGGGCGGTAACACTATGGTTCAGCCGAACTCTACTGAACAAGCGCTTTTCTCTGAATTTACTGAGTGGCGTTTTCAAGATTCACCGGAATTCGCAACGATGTTTGGAATCCACAAATACGATGACCAGGTCAGCATTTTTCGTATGCTTTTCGACCACCGTTATCCTATTATTGTTTGCGCCCAAGTTCATATCAACATACACATCTGCTTGAATATGCAATTTATGACAAAAACACAATTTAAAAAAATGCACATCATATTTCAGCATAAATTACTAGTAATTTTCCAATGCAATTAAAGTAAGCTTCAATTCAAAGAAACGACATGCTAAGCCCGCCAACAACACTACGAATCGCCCTTTTTTTGCATGCGTATCTGTGTGCAGCTGGAGTCATACAGCCTGGCTTCGTTCGAGTCACGCCGTACTAAGGTTGTCAGTCTCCTAGAACGAGCTAAACAGCTTCGTCTTGATAAAGCTCAGCAATGCGAAGCCACCTGCTTATCATCATTAGTGGATCTAGATCTGTTTATAGAGATGTTACAGATATATCTTGACGGCTTTGCTACGAAGTCCTACGTCTTTCCGTTGGCGAGAATCGACGGTTAGTAATTTCCTACCATGAATTCGTGAACACTAAAAGCAAGGTTATAAATGTGTTATTTTTTAAGTTAGCATTTCTTGGCGAATGATGTTAGCATGGTGCAGTGGTTTATCACCGGTATCCATTAACATTAGAAAAACTTTTTCTTGACTAATTACGCCAGTACACAACGGCAGATAGTCCGTAATGTACAAGCATAAATATGGACGCACGCAATCTACGCAAGCATGTGAATCTTGTGACTAACGGCCTATTTTATCTGCCTGCAGGTTTGAATGTAGAGTTAGCACAAATTATCTCATATATGAAGTTCGAAACTGCGGACGACTTTAATAAGTTGACTCGACGATTGCGTGCCGTTCCTGCACAAATCGAGGGCGTTGTGGAGATTATGCGGGAAGGGATTCGCAGCGAGCTTACATTGCATTCTATCTCATTGGTGCGTGCCTAAAGAGAAACTGAAAGTATGAAGACGTAGACATACACTAATCCACTTGCAGTAATAAGCATAATACAAATTGCATTAATATATCTGCTAACGCCTTATTTAACGCTGGCACTTGTTCTACTGTAGTAAATTCACCCGCTTAGTGTTCAACAAGATTCAGTATGAATCATCTTATTGTTTTCAAAGGAACTTCATTGAAATTATAGATACATAACGCCAGCAATGACAGGCCATAAAAATTTATATCTACAAATGACTAGTGTTCCTATCTGCCCGCCATATGTATCATGGAGTATCGAAACAGTTTTATAGAATAGACAGTTACATAATAATGTTGTCAAGCTTATTCACTCAACTCATCCTTAGTTCTTCGTTAGATTTCCAAGTCAAATGTTTCTTTGCCGAGATTTTTTAATTCCTCCGCGTAGCTCCTAGTACACAGATAACAAAGGTGCATTTAAATACACTCACGTGGAAATGCTTAGCTTCACCAAAAGGTAGCCGGTCTAGATCTGTCAAACATTTTTTTTAAATCAAAATATTCACTTCCAAAATTGTTTTAAAGATAGATTATTTTTTCTTGTTTTTCAGCTTCCATAATCACTCGAAACTACTGTTGGTTCTTAACTTAACCATAACATCGGTTCACGGGCTGTTCCTCGGCTATTGATCATGTTTAACAATTATTTAAGTGACACGTCCAAAGCACGCTAAATTAGGAACATTGCAAAATTTTCAACTTTTTTTTCATAAGTATATATAATCCTTTTATTTACTCTCATCTCTATTTAAATATCACCTGTAGAGATATTGTTGAATAACCCTTAAAAGTCACAGTTGAATGTCTAACTATACCTGATACGTTTTTTCCCCATTTATTAAAAAAAAATGAGCCACTATTTAGCATGCATTCTGTTATATTCCCGTAATGCTATTTTATAAAGTCAATTGCCTTTATAAAAATCAAATAGATACAGTTAAATGCACTTCTAAAAGCTCCGTTAATGTTGATCTATTTCACTTTTTACGAATCAAAAAGATCCATCATTTTATGTGTTCGATATTTGTGACAGTTGTAGGAAGAATAAAGAAAGTGTTCGTGCAATTCCTCGACGGCAAGCAAGACCTGATTGTTTCTTCTCGATGTTATTTCAGAAAAATGTGGTAGAAAGCCTTACAGACCTAGTCAATCAGGAGCCCAGTAATACGCCTTACTACACGTACGTAGCACATGTGCATAATCCATAACGCTGCCTGCAGGCTTTTGGCTGATAAAAATATCTTAATTTTGACCTAGGATCTCTTACTACTTTATTATTATTCATTTTCTTGCATCGTTATTTGCTTCAAGCTGGTAGACCACACAGTTCCAAAGTTAAGCGCACTGAAAATAACCATAATTACTATATCGGTGGGAGTTTTGAGTATATCGTACGTGTAATTGACGCAAACCAAATGTGACTGATCATAGGCCGGTTGCAGAGAGTAAGCTCACCCTAACTGACTCACAGAAGATGCAAGTTATCGAGGGTATCAGAGAAGCTCAGAAAGGACTTTCTGTTTTAAGGGACTTTATCAGGTTAGTACCGGATCGGTATTAGTATTGATCTATATTATGTGAGCGTTCGTTTTTCCCCTGAAATTCACACAAAACCATCCAACATCTGTGGGGTCTTTCCAACGCATAATTGAACTTGCTAAAAAAACTGAGGTACTTGGTCGTGCAAGCTGTGATTAATCAAAGATGGCGAGTTTATAATGTTTTCTTAATGGTACCTATGCCTTGATTTGCCTAGAGATGAGTATCTAGCGGCTTGTCGGAAGAATATAGGCGTTAGTTCATTGCCCAATGGAGAGGCGTATTATGCTGAATGCCTTAAGCACCATCTCGGGTACGCAGCGAAGCCATCTGACGTGCACGACATTGGATTAAAGGAGGTTGCACGAATCAATAACGAAATCAAAAAGGTGATGTACATATATATCCTGTAAATTAACATTGGATACAAACACTCTGAAGTCTACTAGGTGATGAAATGACTCACATGTCTAAGGACGCGCGTTAGGGTCACTTTAAGGCATTAGTTTAAGTTTGTAGGCCCAGGTTCTTTAAGGGTCAACTGCGCTGCGTACTGCGCTCAGGTGAAAAAGATGATAAACACAATGTACAATAAAATAGTAAACACATTTTAACTTGTTATATTATAATTTTATTAAAAAAGGTGATTACTGAACTGGGACTCCAGGATACGCCTAAGGACTTTGCTGAAAAGATGCGTCAGGATCCGCAGTTCATTCTCGGTAGTCAGGAAGAGATAAAAGACCTTTATAAGTGTATTCTCGAGGAAAGAATTCAACCGCAACTGTCAAAATATTTCCGCACTGTGCCACAAGCTAAGTTAAATCTCGAACTCGTGAGTGCGTCAAGAGCTGCTGGACCTGCTGCATACTACATTCAGGTATAAAATCGATTCATTAATTCTTTTGAAGAACCTCTATGGATATGTAAACTCTACGGTAAATGGCTATTGTGAGTAACATAATATTACGGGCATCTCGGCTCGTTATATTATATTTAGAATTATTTCTTAATTATAATAATATATAATAATTATAATAATCTTATAAATTATAATTATTTCTCGTCAGCTTGTTTACACATTTTACTCCGCGTTTTACTCGGTGTTTATTCCTCATAGACACTGCGTTAATGTCCATTCCTCTTTCGTATTATTAAATTGCATGAAACAACCATCCGTGATGCTGTACACACTGTCGTCTGATGTGTGAATGCTATTGATAATATCGTGCATGTTGTCAAAAGAAATATTAATCCAAAGACTAAAACTGCAGACGCTTAATCCGGTAGGATATATCGACTTTTTCTGAAAAGTATGTTACCTTGGTCATAAAGGAAAGCGGATTTTTCAATCTTTCATTTTGATGCAAAATTGGCTGGAAGACCAATCGTAAACTTTTGGTTTGTTTTAACTAGTCACACCACTCAGTTTAAAGTCATACTGACTCAAAGGTCTGTGCTGCATACCAACATAACCATACTTTGATCTTTCAGGGTGCAGTAGACGGTTCGCGTCCAGGTATGTTTTACATTAACGGAAATGACGTTCGTCGCTCGCCAACCTACATAATGCCAGCACTGGCCTTACATGAAGCTAACCCAGGCCATCATCTCCAGGGGTCTCGTCTACTTGAGACACGCGATTTGGCCAGCTTCCGGCTGCTCATGGAAGATCGTCGCTATACGGATATGCCTACCCATTTTCCTTTACATACTGCGTATATTGAGGTAAGTAACTACATGCTTTCTTTTTATTCTGATTCCGGTTGTATTCTATTGATGCTCAATTAAATGTATATACATTTATGCACGTGTGTCTGAATATAGACAATACATTCAAGCTTAGCTTCGTCGTTTGGTCGCCAGTAGCAAGTGTTCCACAGCCACTCGCTTTATATTGCGATTTCTCCGTTTATATATATATATATATATATATATATATATATATATATATATTGCACCACATTATTTTTCATTTCGAAGCACGAGGCATACATAGAAGATGAAATCGCGTTTTTGGTTTAGCTATTTTATTTGATTGGACCTTTAGTACTTTATTTCTGTGAAGATTGCTTGCCATCTTTTCCACACACTCAAGCAACAAGCTTAAAGCCTTTATTTTTTACCAGAAAGGGTAAGGATATATTCGTTCTACCTTGACATACAACTCTACATAAGCGGTTTTTGTTCACAAGTTTGCAGCGAAAGCGATTTTTACGGTAACAATGAATAGTCGGAAAAAAGATTTCCTATAGCCTTCACGCTACTTTCTGCAGAAATCTCGTAGAGCTTTGCTAGTGGACTGCGTTCCTACAGTTGGATTAGATAGTAGCCCTCGTAGGGTTGCTATCTAATTCGGACATTCCTTGTGATCGTTGTTTGTAAATCAAGTTTAGTAAAATTTCCAAGATTCAAGCCTCAGAGTTTCGGCTTTTGATACAATTAACGAGCCACTTAAGTTAGTAATACAAAGTTCCCTAGTAGCTGTATTTTTAGGCTATTTAGCCTAGGACCTTGTAGCCGAAGCCCACGTTGTACTCCTGCTTCGTTATTCACAAGTCCTTGTCGATTAGGATCGATTTTTAAAAAAGCAATGGAAATTGTTCTGAATCGCTGCCCGTCTTTGCGGCCTTTATCTACGTTCAGTTAACAACAGTTTCAAAACAATCATAAAAAATAAAAGTACTTCTTTTTCGAACTTTCCTGCACAGCAATTGAAGACGATTTGTACCCTACTGTAAAGCCATTTCATACTCTCACTAATATATATATATATATATATATATATAATGCGTATCTGTAGTAGGTACCTTTGTAAGGTGAAACAGCGAAAACAAGTCAAGTAACAAACATATTAACCAACGGTGCGCATTCGATTTTCCATGCGCATGGCTTGATCCTAGGGTTGGGGCTTGTACAGCGAGTCTTTGGGCCATGAAATGGGAGTTTATCATACGCCATACGAGAAGTACGGCCATTACTCTCAAGAAATATTAAGGGCTTGCCGCCTGGTAGTTGATACAGGCATGCATGCGTTCAAGTAAGTTTCCACGGAAAACCAGGAATGTTCATGTTACAAATTTTTTTCAAATAACCAATATTAGTCACACAACTTTATCGTAGCCACATATGCGTTCAAATTTACATCAGTTCAAAACAGAAATGACATTTTTTTTTTTATCTGCAATAAGGACCCGTTCTCGTTGATTACATTTGGGCTAGTTGCTAGATCAAGGCATCGGATTTAGCAATAGTTTTTACCTTTATTTGGCAGCTGGACGCGTCAACAGGCGATTGATTTTATGTTGGAGCATACGGCGTCGTCACTTTCGGAAATCGAGTCGGAAGTTGATCGGTATATTACCTGGCCTGGACAAGCATGTGGATACAAGATTGGAGAACTTCGAATCAAACAGCTCCGACAAAAAGCCAACGACGCGCTTGGTACGCTGTTCATTTCCCTTGCTTTACCAAGAAATGTCCTTTTCTGTCCTAATCAGAACTAAAACCTTTGGTATAGGGTTTGCTAATAAAGGGATTTAATATTGTGTTTTACAATGGCTAATTGAAAGTTCCAGTACCAGAAATTTTGTCCATGTTGTTTAGTCATAAGAAAACTTCAGGTTGCTAAACTAGGAACTTCGATTACTTAGTATGTAAGGAGAGAGATTTTCAACGCGTTCTCACAGGCCATGTGACATTACACTGACATAAACCCTTAGTAACTTGTTTCTTTTTAACTATCATATAATATCATTGCAGGTTCAGCATTCGACATTCGCGATTTTCACGAGGTTGTTATGAACCACATGGGTACGCTAGCTTTTCTAGAAAAAGGCGTCGATGCTTACATCGCGAAACAGAGGAAATGATTGGCGGGTGCAATGGAGACTATAAACGCTTTGACTTTTGATAATAAACGTCGTAATTCTACCAAAGTCTCCTCTATTTTTGCTTATGCAAAACAATTAAAATGTAAAACTAGGAACTTCCGCGCATTATTTCCATAGTGACATCTTATAAAACTACATTTATCCTCTATATATTTCTATATTTACCCTCAAACACCTTTCCGTACAGAAATTTCTCCAATTTGTATGGTGAGAGAATAATTCTTATATTAAGAGAATGACTCATACTAACTTGTATTAAGTCTAGTGCCAGATATTATGCATCAGTTTTGACAAGTTGCATCAATTTAAAAGGATATAAAATCGGGAAGGACACTCGTATAAGACATTTTAAGCCTAGATGTTTCCCTGTTATGTTTACGTTGACATCTAACCGCGAATATGTAGGAAATACTTTTTCATACCATATATATTCATGGCATATATTCATATATTCATGGCATTAATAGCCTTCGTTTTTTAACGATATTACCACCCAAATTATCCAGCTAATAAAAGGAGGCCCTTTTTGTAGCTTGTAACACTAATAAATTTACTTTTATATTAACAAATCCTACAGTTGATAAGGGTCTTCTGTTATATTGCGAACGCCGTAATGCAGGGCCTTAGTTCATAGGATATAGTGTTTTTAAACCTAGAAACTTCTGTTTAGTTCCTCAATTTCAAAACAGCACACTTTATTAGGTTTTATTTGAAAATAGTTGTCGCTTACGTAGGTAACAAGCTGCGTTTGACATTTTTTTAGCAACTAACAGAATCCTGCCGAAAAAGTGCTGTGCTTAAAGAATGGTTTGAAAAAAAATTCGCATTGGCTTATGACATGATGAGGGAGCCACCTAGATAAAAACAACCGCAATGAACGCAATTTCCTAATAGGCTTACAGTCAGAAAGCAGGTAGATTTATAGTTTTGGAGGAAGCAAGTTTACAGTTCAAGAAAGCAGGGAGTGCTTTTTTCTGTATTTTTTTGCAACCGTGAACCAATTTCCGACGGACATTGGAAACCTCCTTAATTCTGTTTTAGAACTTTTTTTTTGTGAACTTTTGTTTGTACTTTGTGAAACTGAGAATGCCAAGCAGAAAATAGAGAATACTTGGCCGTTTTTAAAATGAGAATTCGAAAATGAAGTCATTTGGTATAAAAATTATGATTACCGCCTAACATTGCATTCAGTTCCTGTTCTGTTAGCGTTCAGTTTTTAGACCTTTTCCTACTATACTAAAATTGCATTTTGAGAACTTCGAAAATTATGTAGAAACTTGGCATTTTTATAGCCGATCAACCCACATATCAAATAGATCATCTTCCAAATTACCAATGGTTCAATTGTTCTTGCTGCTATTTTTTTTTATTAAGGTTCTGCTTGTTTAACTTCAACCCTTTTTATAGCCTTTAAATAATAATCACACGTTGGGCTTTAGTTCAGCGATTTATTTTATCATTATTATTGTTGTTAATAGTGTTACTTATATATCATTCGTGTACTCAACCTTACAGCACTTGCGCTATACAAATGTCAATGCAAGATATCATAAATCTGTACAAATGGGTCCTCTGTCCTTTGCGTTTTCTTAGCCTCAGAAGCATCTAATCCTTTGAATCGCTTCCATTCACGGAAAAACCTCACTTCGTTCGTTTATCGTACACCCCCCCCATTTCTCGTCATTTCTCGCCGGCTCAACATAGTTGGCTAGATAACACTTGTTTCGGGAGATAACTACTTCGGACCCTCAATCTGGGAAAGTTCAGGTTGATTCAGGGATTCGAGAGCATATGTTCACATTCGAAGAATCTTGGAAAAACCTTTTCTAAGGGAATATGCCTTGATTTCATGATAAAAGATGCAAAACTTCAAGCGGGGATAAACTTTCACACAATACCTATCACGGCTAATTGCCTAAAAAATTTGCGAGTACCCGGCTGGTCTAACAGATAACCAATAAATTTCGAACTTTACTTGCTGTTGCATTAAACCTCGGCTTGATGGTTGATATTATCGTATTCATAAAGCATTCATTTATACTTCTTCGGCTTAACGCCTAACTTAAAGAAAACACCAAATAGGATTCCTTTTCAATATATGGCAGCTGTTTCTTCCTTATCTAATCAGTATTCACCCACTTTATGAGTCCAGGTTAATGATTCCATTATTTTGCTAGGCTTCAAAATCCTTAGGACGTTGCTATCCTCTGTTTTACTTGCTGTTCGTTACCGTAATAGCAATGGTAACCGAAAACGCTTGCTTTGCTGTTAGCTTGCCCGATAGCGATAAAGAGGAGCGTTAATATAAAGCAATTTGCACTCCGTTGGAGCGTTTATATCGATGCAAAGATGTCCTGTCGTATCATTTCATTCTTTGCAAATGAGACTGACGTCAACAATTTTCCAGGTTTTTCAAGCTCCGTTCTGCACCATTTTCCACCTCTGTCCACCTTGTTCATCGAATAGCATTTACCGCAAGACAGCAGTCTTCCAGCCGCCGTATATTCGCCCAGTATACTATTTACATACAATGCCGTTCCACCATCACCACATCACTTAGTCGGGCTCCTGTTTTTAAGACACCGATATATATATATATCGTGCACTTAAGCCATTCTCTACTCCACATGTATGTATGTTGTTCTTCATAATGGGTATTCAATCTTAATGATATCAACGGATCTAAGGTTACCAAGTCAACAATGCCGCGTTGCTTCTACTCCAACACTATCCACCACCTTCAGGAAATCACTCCAATGTTCCACAAATAGCCAAATAGGCAGCAGCATGTGCTTTACTGCTGACCTTAAACAGGTGCCTCGATATCGTCATTAATGATTCTGTCTGTTCTCGGCTTTGGCTACCTATCTGCTATAATCATTATTGTTTTTGGTAGTTCTACATAGATGTTATTAATAAATTTACATAATGTTAGTGGAAGTTAGTCAATTTAATATTACTAGATATATATATATATATATATATATATATATATATATATATATATATATATATATATATAATCTAAAGAGAGAGAAGAGGGTAGGGCTAAATAGGCAAATTTTACAGTTAAAAACAACCTTTATAACGGAAAACAAAAATATGATATCAGTATATTCGTCAAAGGTTCTTCTATTATGTAACTGAGTGAGTTCAATCCATTCATTTTCAAGAAAAGTTCACTCAAAAACACTTATGTCCTTAATAAATAATTAACCTAAAGTGGGGCTATATGGGCCACTAATGATTTTGTGCGAGAAAGTCTGTCATTTAACAAAGCTTAAAGGAAATATTTCTTTTCTAAGAAAGGCTTATGATTATGACTAGAGAAGCCGATGATTTTTATTTACTATCATTTACTGTCTAGTTAGATCGAAAATTAACGTTTAGTAAGTCAAAAATTACGATTTGGCAACCCACATGAAGTTCTGTTACGTAATGTGACAAAATTCCATGTAGATTTACTGTTTTTGGAATAGTCTAGGTACTGAGACTCTACAAGTTGCATTTTGTTTGGGAGGGAAGAAAAAACAGAACAGCGCGCATCATTTTCGAAAACTAACTTGACCAGACTGAAACTTGTATAACTACCATGGCTATGTGTGATTGTGGTACAAATAATTATCCGTGGCAAATTCTAATCTATGAGTATGTTCATCCGCAATAGGTGTTGACATGTAGTACAACGAGTGCAAAGCTACGATGCCTTAGTTTAAATTGACATATATACATATACACGCGCATATACGCACTTTTGCTAAGCTGAGTCGTACTCTAAGGCCACTTACTTCTTTCAACTGCTCCGTAAAGTTAGCATCGTCAGCATCCTGTTTCTTGTGTATTCGAAATGCAGTGGTCCATAAAGCCCCACCTCGCTCTGACCCATATCCTTAGGGCGATTACGTAACATAAATCAATTTAATGTCTTTAAAAATGTTGCTTTGAAAATATCGAAACTATGTTAGAGAAAAAAATTACCTGGTCATTTGTTCAGTGAAATGCGAAAAAAGAGCTGACCTATATAGCCCCACTTTTGAAATTCGTGCAACGAAAAAATCCATTAACGCAAATTTGCATTGTACTGATCCATGTACATCTGAAAAATTCAGAATGTTTGATAATAATGAAATTAAAAATTAACGTTTTCTTGCATAAAAAAAAATGAAATGGCCCATATAAGCCTTGTCGCATATAGCAGCGCCGTTCTTTATGTATGTACACATATATATTCCGCCTAGTTTTTAGAATTCCAAGAATATTATTTATACACATATGTAATAAACCAGCTAGATCCGACTCTCTATTTCACCATTCTGGGTTTTTTCGTGAGAACGAAGCTCCTTCAGTCAGTGTTCGACATAGACATAGATGGTGTAGGATGCATACTTACACCCTGTATCTCACATATTATTGGCGAAGTTGTTGTTCATCTTAGGTAAAACAGTTGGCTCCATAGCACGATCATAGCTAGGTTTGCCGTTAGGAAAAAAATGTTGACGCTTCCGCGATTCACGGAGCGTAAAGCGTGGAGCAATGACTGATATTGAAATCACTGCGTTTTGTTGTTATGTTAAATGTATTAACCTTCTGTATAGTTTCTGTTGATCTCTGCTCAATAATGTTATTGATAACAACATCAATGGATGTCTTTTTTGCCTTTCTTTAGGTTAATGCAAATCTGTAGTAGCTACAACGGCAAATTTTATGGAATAATTACATGCGTTGTTTAGACTTCTTCTACATGCTCTTGTATACACTTTCGGCTTAGAAGTTCCCGGTAGCAGAGAAGAAGGTAAAACTTGGCTGGTTTCCAAACTGCGATGGCGTCTTTGGTGAAGCGCAGGCAAACAGGAAGTCTTCACTCTGCAAATGCGTCCTATTTAAAGTCGGCTCCGAAGTAGAACGATGAATCTTAGGTAATGACCTCATCAAAGACTCCAGCGATGCCAAGATCTGTAATGAGTTAGCACGTTTCAGATTAGGCAAAAAAAATTATATGTGGAACAGCCAAGCCTTAAGGTATAACGTCGTAAAATTTTACCTCAGAGCTTTTAAAGCTCATTCATCATCATTGTTTACTGACACAAGATTATTAAACACAGGTATTAATGCACGAGAGAGAATACACGGAGGTTTGTAATAAACTAGATGGACCATATACAGTTAACCCACCTGTCTGAACAGAGGTCGATCATCCCTACAGAATTTTATGCAATCCTCAGTGAGACGCACCAGAGCTTTTGGTGCATCTTTTCGAACATGCGCCATATCAGGTTTAAGAAAACCGTTGCCAACCATGAACAAGATCTGGTCTTTGTTGTTAATATTACTGTAGGGCAATTGTTGAGTTTCAAGTTCATACAGGACAATACCAAACGCGTAAACGTCACTCTGAAAGGAGTACGGAGCAGGATCCTTCATTCGAATCACCTGAAACAACAGGTACGATAGGATGTTTGATTTGCCGCTACAGTGCACTACTAAACGACGCAGAAGCAATGATGGCCAGAAAGAGAACTTTTCCAGGATACAGTCAACTGCCAAGTGAGAAAATCCATAAACTCTAATCGAAAGTTGATCAGCGCACATCCACCTTTGAGTTCCTTAGCAATTTATTCAAACGCTGCTCTGTTAAGAAGATATTTGCATGTAATCAAAGTACGCAAACCTCTGGTGCCATCCACAGGATTGACCCTGTTGGTTGAGAGAATGGACTTGAGCCGCTCCAGCGCGCTTTCACTGTCGCCAAACCGAAGTCCCCTATTTTCACAGTCAAATCATCATGAAGAAAGATATCTGCGCAAAAGATAGAGAAAACAACATTTAGTTATTAACGGGTTTTGGCATTATCATTTTATGCCGCTTATCGAGTCGCGTACGTACAACCGAATAGCCGTAGATGTAAGAAATTAGACATGGGTAACTAGCCTACAAATCTTAAACTTACTATTTGACTTGAGATCTCTATGGATAATGTTCTTCGCGTGTAGATAGTCCATGCCTTGGGCAGTCTGTCGAGCAATGTCGATTACTTGCAGCATCTCAAATTTTGTTTCAAGAACATGAAGATGCTTGTATAACGATGAGCCCTCACACCATTGCGTCACAATGGTCAATTGAGGCCGAGATACGCATCCCATAAAGAGAATGATAGACACATGCCGAGTCTTGCGTAGCACCGACACCTAATAAGAAGTGATATAAATAAGAGTGGCAATATTAATGATATAAGCATGTAGTACGTAGATAAGACAGTGTATTTTCAACATTTTTGAATGAAGCATATCTGCTACTTGAAAATGAACTAACCTCATTTTTGAAGGCCTGAAGCTGTGCAGGGGTTGGATTTGTGACATTGAGCTTCTTGAGGGCGACATGACCGTGCCAATGGCCTCGGTAGACAGTTCCAAAGGAACCCGACCCAATACGAGGACCTGTTAGGATTTCCTCGGGAAGTATTTCCCAGTCCTCGATTGATTCACGCGTTGACTAAAACAGTTCACGACAAATACACGTTAAATTGTTGCGACAAAACAAACGATTGTGTCCGACCGACATCATTCAAATTAATCCGACAAGGAGAAGAAATAAAATTAGTTGATAATGTTTTTCTTTATTACATATAAACGTTTCATACTTTCTGGTTAACCGCCTTTTTCGAAGATTCGTCTGCAGAGCGGGCCCGTGGTCTAGGCGTCTTGTGCGACGACGTCGGTGAACCCTGAGCACTTTGCGTCCTAGTAGGTGAGGCAGATGATACCTGTGAGCAACGCGGCGGCACTAAACCAGAACCTGCAGTGTATATATAACAATTAGGATTTTACTAATCGTATTTGCTTTGTGCTTTCAGCGAAAGCGTAGCAAGAAATCCAATGTCGTTTAAACAAAGTTATTAAAGCGCATCGTTGACGCTGGTTTAAAAGCAAACATTAGCACACTCGACCTGTCAGTGTAAACTTTTGTAGTAGTATAGTCTAATCAATCAAGAAACCTATCTCTAAGATGCAGGGCCACATTTAATCGAAGCTATATACCGATTAAATGGAGATCCAAGGTAGTTCAGACTGGTTTCAATAGCGAGAATAACTAATTTAGAAGTAAAATACATTTTAGTAAGTCGCACTAAAATAAATGATCGAAAGTAAGCAGCTGTTAGTGACATAGCAGTTAATTTCTGATTGCCCGCTTTCATGCAACTTATCGGAAAGCTAAGGAATTTTAGGACTGATCGGGAAAGCTGAGCGCCCTTTTATGCTCGAACGATTCGTATAGTAACATTTCTACAGAATCGTAGTAGGATGTTGATGTGTATCATGTTTTAATTTTCACTGCTCGATTATCGTGTTGATTTTTAATGATTCTATAGCCCACCATGCCGGATTTGGTAAAAGCAGCCTTTCGCCACTAGCTTAAAATGTCACGAACTCCGGCATCAGAAATGCAACGCAGTGTAGTATCAAGCAAAATGTAAGCTAGCAGAACACAAAATAGCTAGTCGGCAAATCAAACATATCCTGGGCAAGAATGGTATGAAACTCCGTTTCTTTCACGTAAATGATCAGCATCGAGCCACGATATTAAAAAAAAAAACACAACTCCAATCGAAAACCATAAAAACAAGACAAGTGGAATAGGTTCAACAAAACTGAACGAAAACAAACCTCGGTTAACCGAATAGCTGCTGTGTAACGTTGTGGCCTGCTGTTGATGATTTGAATGGTTGAGGTGATGACGAGATGACTGGGAGCCCGAACCTATGCTACTAAAACCAAGCTGCCATGTGCCACCAGTTTTCCCACTATTGTTATTACTACGGCTATTGTTATAGCGACTATTGTTACTGTGACTGTTCAAAGGGACATCGTTATGGCTCGCTGATGAATTGTTTCGTCGCTGAAGTCCTGTCCGCCGTCCGAAACTCGACGAGGTTCCGCTCTTACGATTATGCTGTCGTAAACTTCCTGTCGTCAATCCAGAGTTTCTCCCCACCATCAAGGAGTTGTACGCAAAGTTTGATCCAGAACTACTTCCACCGGCAATTTTGGTAATGTTACTCCCGCCGTTTCTTAGGGAAGTCATTACTAACTCCTTAATCCCACCCCCGCTCACAGAAGACTGTGTCGGCTGTGTGGAGCTCATAGGAGCTTGTGTCGGCGCTATCGTCGTTCCCCCACCAGCAACTGATGGGTGTAACTGCGCGCTGCTGCTCGGGTCGTTTAGGCATTGCTTTGGTATACCGCTGTGTTCAGCTACTGAAGTTGCGCGTGAAGCGGAATTACTACCGTTGAGATTGTAATTATTATTACCATTATTATGATTAGTACTGCATATGTTGATGTTACTATTGTGGCTATGGCTGCTGCTGCTGCTGCTGCCATTATTGCTGCAACCACAGCAACAATTGCAGCATGCTGTGCTTGTTGTGCAGTTGCCTGTGCAGGTGATATTGTTATTGCCTGTGGCAGTAGCAGAAGTACAAACACAACTGCAATTACTGTGCAACGAGGACGCCTGTTGCTGCTGCTGCTGGGGCGAATTTAAATGGACACTATGGTGTTTGTTGCTGTTATTGGGTTTCCGTGAACTTGTCGAGCTGTGCTGACTATTACTGTGGTGATGGCCGCGAAAGGCTGATGAGATTGTATCGCTCCAAGTTGACGTGGCGAATGCTGAAGCAAGGCCACGCGGCGCAATCGGAGGAGAATTCTCTGCAGGATGATACGCCAGGTAGGGTGGGGCGGGCAGGTGCAGAAGCCAGCCACATACGCAACAACAACACGCAGCAAAACAAACAATAAAAAAAAAAAAAAGCAAAGATTGGAAAACCAAAGAACACAAACAAGCAAAACAGAACATAATCACCAAAGACAATTTGCAATACGAAAAAGTCATATAATTATCCTAGTACCATAGGGCTATTCAAAGCCTAACAATGTGAAAAATCTCAACAAAAAAGGAACATTTCGCATTTATTTAACGTTAATAGCTTGTTTTGTTGATGCATATCCCCGTTATTTAATACCATCCTGAATATGCAATGTGATCTTGCTAATAGATTTCTTGCACACCTCGTATCTAATAAGAATAAAATAATTCGTATAGAGATTCTCAAGTGTTTTATACCTGTCATTACTCTTAAAATCAACTCTAGATCAAATATGGTGATTATTAGTAAATTATGAGCTTTTATGTATAGATAATTGCGTGAAAACGTAAAATCACGGTGAAAGAAGATCATAGGTTGTGCGCTTTGTAAGGCCACTTTTCTACATTTCTTTAATAGTTTACAACGTTTAGACATGTAAATGATAATAAAAACTTAGGTTAACAAAACCATCTAACTTTCCTGACTCTGTTGGCACGCCTTTTCTTTTTACGTACAATAGACATGTTCCTTATTACATAAGCAACTAGCAGAAAGTACTAATAGGTATTGTATTTGAATGCACCAGCTGACCCATTAGAAAAATTTTCAAGCAAGCTTAGAATAAGTGTCTGTGCTCACCTGGTGATGAGTAGACTTGTGACTTGTATTTGGACAGATCAGCAGAGAAATCCTGGTTCACCATGTTGTAGGAAACATTCGGCGCTGATGTTGACCGCTCCCGTTGAGCAGTAAGGGGTGCTCCTGCAGCGCCTTCATGCGGATCTCCACCACGTCCAGCGCCGCCGCCTGGAATCGCACGCGGGGATGACGCCTCTTCGATGAATGGCTTATAATGCGCTGGGGGTGGCTCAACGCCGTCTTGCATTGCTAATAAACTGTGGACACCAGAAAAAAGCAGTTTAAGAAAGTACCTTTAATGTTTCAGGAAATAAACGGCATCTCCATTAGCACTTGCAAAGGGTAATGTACTCAGTTCGGCGTTTTTGTGCAATCTTTTACATCGAGGCCGAAAAAAATAGACATATACAAAGTACGAAACGTAAGAAGGGACAAACTTTGGCTAGTTTTTTTGTCATAAAGGGCATGCGTTCATCTGCTATTCCTCCTACCATACGAGAGCCAGTTCCTCCTACAGCAAAACAACAAATTTGTCGTGACGGGTAACAATGCGTCGTTTTTGGAATTCAGCCTCTACGCCCCGGAATGACACCACCGAAATCATAAACTTTTTGGCTCACCCCAAATCAAAAGCTTACCGCGTCGCAGACGAGTATGCGGTTGCAGAAGAAACAGAACACTAAGTTGCAGCATAGCACAACAAAAAATCCATTACAAAAAAAACAGAGCAAACTTTAAAGTTAATTGCCGCCTTCCACAAGTGCATAACTTATGATCCTTCTGTTTCGGTGAAGGCGTTAGTGAATAAATTTGACATGAGTGAACGTACGTTGTCATGGATTGTTGAAGAAGATTTCAGATACACATTACGTGCCATAATGTTCCTTGGAAGCAATAAAACTAAGATATCGTTTTTTTTTGCTACTCAATTCTCTCGAAAATAAAGCAGTAAGTCGTCTTGAAATTTTTTTCTCGCAATACAATAGTTATTGTCGATAAAAAATTCAGTCGAAAAATTGAAGGCTAACCTGCTTACGATTCTGATAATCTTCCGATTATAGCTAAAAGCAAATTTCCGGCTAACGGTGATTCTCTGAACGTAGTGTCCACTAAAAGAGACGCCATGCTATTATGCTTCTTCCAGGAAAGCGAATGTGTTTATTTGCGTGTTCTGCAAACTGTTATATAACTGCGGATAGCTAAAGTGTCCGAAAGAAAACCGTACGTTTTTCAGCAAGATGGTGCAGTGGTTGATGCTAGCCCATTAGTTCAAAATTAGCTGTATAAAAATATAAGCATGCCGTGTAATAAGCACAAGCTGCTGCAGACCAGCCCAAATCTGAGCCCGGTTGGTAACTTTGAGGGAGGGTCCAGTGGGTTTCGATACGTCAACGTGGATTCGCTCATTTATTTTTTCCAGAAAACATTCTCAGAATTACAACGGAAACATTTGAAGCAAGCCCGATTTAGATCCGAATAGAAGATGTAATCGCAGTAAGTAGTGGTTGTATTGAATAAACATTTCTTTCAAACAATACTTCTAGCACATTTCGTCGAATTTGCTCTTGTTTAGATACGGTATTAGAAACAATTCACGAGAAAAATTGCCACTTTAGATGAGCGTCCCTCTCTCTTTATATATATATATTAAATGGATTAGATAAATATATAATTATACAGATTCTCCCTGCACGTATGGAAAACTGATAGGTACACTCACTGTTTATAATACTGCTGGTCGACTCGAAGTGGTTGACATAACGCTGGTACGGAGTCAGCACATCGTGGATGAAATCTGTAGCCACAGGTCTGGCATCGAAAGCCATGAAATAGAAGTTTTCGGCAGCACTCGCAAAATGCCAACGAAAAGAACGTCTTGCGGACGTAGTTATGTGATATCGATGTGGTAACCGGGAACTTATCTCTGTTGGAAATAATAAATAATGAAAATATATAATTGTTCTCATATTTACCACATTCATTGGATGCATATTCCATATATTTCATTAAAGCTGTGCGGTTTATATTATACCTGTCTTCATACCTGATTCGTACGCTAAGCTCAGCATCCCCTCCGAGTGCACCCATATCGGTGTCCCAATCAACAAGTTCTCCTGAATCCGCCTTGTATGCGAGACACATCTCAGGGCTTAACTTACGTCGCTTCATCGCCTTTGCCAACGCTTCCACGACAGTCTGGCCTGGTCGAACCTAAGAAGATACAATAAAAAAACTGGAAGTACAGCCTATAGCGACGCTCATATGCCGAGCATCTGGCAGCTAAACTGTTATTCTGTAATATTTAACCGAACACCATTTAATTAAAACTGTATTGGTAGACATCGAGCCATACGTAACCGTTTCATGTGTTAATGGTATGGCATAATTATTATTGTAAATATTTTCACTTCCATACCTGTACTGTGGTGTGCTGAGCGTTAGGCAGTTCGATCCGAACGACGCTTCGCATTGGCGATCGTGGCGCTCCGCCGTCTCCACTGGTAGCCCCGCCTCGGCCGCCTATGGAATTGGCAACGCCACCTGAAATACGGGTAAGCCAATATGATATCAAGGCTATGCCCACTGACCGCGCTACCCATTGATTAGATGAGGCTATCATAGCGAGTAGCTATATGCGCTATATATGGTTAAATTGCCTAATATTTATGCTATATATATATATATATAACAAGCTTTGCGTTAAGGGGTCTGCCGTGTTTCAAAACTCGCCTTCTAACAATGCCGCGGCAAAGTTAGTATCATCAGGACTCTGGTTTCCATTGAACGCCGAAGATGAACCCATTACTGCAGAATTAGCCCCAGAAGTTGATGACAAGGCTGTTGCAGACGCCGTAGAAGATGACGACCCGGTACCCCCAGAAGCTGTCGAGTACCCAGTACTGCTAGTTCCAATACTACTGGTCACACTAGCACCTATAGCTGAAAATGAAAGGAAATTATAAAGAGAAATTATATTTAAATGCCACACCTTAAGCCTTGGAGCAATCGAATATGACTATCGTTTATCCCATAGATATGTTCTTGTACATAAGCCTGTGTAAAGCTAGAACCCGACCAAAGCGTCCATTGCAGGAGCATTTCGTTAAGGATTTTTTAAACTCTAATATCGATTGTATACTACCTTATGTACAAAATCGTATTCACCTGTTGCTGTTGAACTACTACCGGTAGAAGGATCTCCAAGAGCGTCAAGAAGTTCCTGCTCACGACTTTGAAAGTCATCAAGCCTTGACGTAAGGTACTCGTATTCCTAAAGCATTGCACAAATGTTTATAACCCATTTATACGCTTATTGACTACATTAATTACCTTCATTACTGAATAAAAATTTTATAATAACTAAATTAAAGCAATGTTGTATGTCTCAAGCGCTGTGCAACACAACGGCTTTTTTTAGGAAGCCTTAATGCAAAGACGGCGGAGGAAGGAATTCCTCTAGCACAGTTTTCTATAAGGAATGTTTCTTGTTGTTTGATAAAACAACTTAGAACCAGTTGCTGGCCGGCAAGTTATTGTATAAATTATGTCGATATTACCTTTCAAACAATTTCATTGGTAGAGGAGGTCAAATCGCGGCTAATTTATGTACCCTACTTTAGAGAGAATATGGCGCGAAAAAATCGGTCGTCTTTGATTAAATAAGCGCATTTTGTTGAAGCTACATGCTATTCACATTTTAACTACAATCAAAATTTTTTTTAACATAATATAATAGCTATCACAAATCACGATCTCCAACGTAACGTCGTTGGTATTCAGTGACTCTCCTCCTGATCTCCCATTTGCGCAGAGCGTTCATGCTTCCTTCGGGCTGTATTAAACATTATAAAAAATAAGAATACTGTAGAGCGCACACTCGTAAATAACAACAACACTGACATGACACCAAAATTTCCTTTTCAAATGAAGGATGCTGACGAAAGGCATGTTTTAGAATAACCATTTTGAGGACAAACATCGATTACTAGATTGCTAAATAGCAAAGTAAAAAATGCTTCCTACTTCCCTTAATACTAAGTAACACACTTACTACTAACAATAATATTTGGAGAAGGAAAAATCACCTGTAAATAGATGGAAGGCGGGTGCTGGTAACCGGAGAAGCGTTGATTCAACATCTCCAAGTTTGTCTGAGTCAGCCGAATCATATTTCGGATGTTCTTTAGCTATAGGGAAGAGAATCGTTTAATAAGATTAATACTTCGACCGATGTCAAAAAAAATGGAATTGCGAAAACGTGTATTAGTTTAAAAATATGTTTATTTGCTAAATATAAAAATTAAAGAGTTCATATTCTACGATTAGGGATACTCTAACATGGCCTGATCGTAGAGGCGAGCAGGTTCAGCCAATAATTTTACTCTTAAAGCAAGCTGCCTAATTTAAACATGCGCGCGTTTACAGTGACATAAACGGAATTCGACTTCTGCTCCTAAAAATTTATTAGTAAATAATTAATGCTTAGTACGTCAACACCGTTTATACTTGATGAAGTAGTTGAAAATTATGTACTCAGTCGCCAGTAATCAGCAAATAATTCTGGTGATATCGCATGCTTTGCTAACATAGAATGCCCTAAAACATACAGAGAGTTATTGGTTATGCTATTTATTGTTATGAAAGATGTGGTTCGAGGTTAAAAATTTAAATGTGACACTGCATCCGCCGAAAACAAGCGTTTTCCAGCTTCTATAAAGTTAGGCTGTTACAATCGAATTTCGCGAATTTTGAAATTTAGTAACTTTGAACTAGTTAGGCTAGAATGATGATTATTTATTAGTATATGTTAGAAACACCCTCCTTTATTTTTCATACATTTATCTTAGGGCTCTGGCATCACCTAGACAAATCTACATCCACGATTCAAGTTTTCGTGTGTAATTTCTTTATGGCTTCTCAAGGTAAATAACTAGTGGCATATGCTTGCTCATTAGTGTTTTTTTAGGTCATGGAAAGTCCCGTAATCAAACGGACTTAGGTCGAGGGAATAAGAAATTTGAAGCCAACGTTAAAAATAAAGTAACCAAGCTGCGCATTTGTGATTGTCGTGCCAACGGCCGTGAATCTCCGGAGGAAAACGGGATACCGGGCCGCATTCATTGTTTCACTTTCGGCGAGTGTCAGCATATCTTTCTGATATCCACTCTACCAATGACAAATTCTACCATTGTTTTAGGTCCGAAACTACTCGACACTCCCACCGAACTCAATTTCTCTCTAGAGCAATGCCACTCACGTCCTTGGTCCTTCTTCGACCGACGGTAAAGATTGAACCATGCCTTTTCTATGGTGACCATATGCTTCAGACGGGTTGTTCGTTGATTAAAGTTTTGCAAATTGCACGTGGAATACGTTACACGTTACTAACCTGTAGTGGATTTACTGCAGAAATGGAATTCCGCATTTACAATGTTTTGAGCTATAATTATGCCAGTTTTGGCCGACAAGCCCTTAGACTTTTTTAGACAAAAGCAGAGCCTCTGTGTGTAATGTGTCCTTATCTTTCGGGTTTCGACATCTGCTCATCTTCTCGGTGGTCTTCAGCACTCTAATCTCCGTTCTTAAAACGTTTGCACCGTTTTCGCACTGCTCTATCTTCAATTTTTGACGAACTTCCGCGGCGCTGTGGCCTTCGAGGAGCAAAAACTTAACTACTGAGCGTTGATATTCGAGTTTAAAAGGTGCTCCGTCAGTGTTTACTCACAGGCGTCTAGAAATGTGGGGTACTTAGCAGCAGACGGCACATAGTTAAAAAATTACTCAATTTCAGAGTTCGCCGCATTCTGTAACAGCCTGATAATATGGTAGTTATGTGCTTGATTTCGAATTTCGATTTTATATTCCGTTTTTTAAATGCTTAAATCATATTTTTCAACTTGATGCCTACTTCGTTGCAAAGCAGAAACATAAAATAATAGTACTTAGTTCTTACAATACTTAGCTGTGCGTCAGATGATTAAATTTTAAATGAGCAATTTAGCACCTGATGCACGGTTAGGTGCTACACGTAAGGGATCATCAAACACAAACTCTATTTAGGTAAGCTGATTCAGAACGTTCACGTTGCCGATTCAGGTAATAGAAACACACTTGATTCGCTCTCTAATTACCAAGCTCTACAGTAAAAAGAACAGCTAATATTTGTCACCCATATTTTGCAATTTGATGTACTATATGCACTAAAGATCTTAAATGCTGATGCCTCTTGATTTTATGATCTATATATTAATTTCTCATTATTTATATCATCCACACGCGATATGTCGTCCCAACTTAGCTTCTAAAATCTATACTCTGATCTATTGCATGCCTCGCCAGAACGCTAAAGCAGTGTGCAATAAACAATATTTTATTTATGACGAGAAACGAGTTCCAAGTTGCTGACTTATTGATGTTGTCTAACTCAACTAAGGACAAGGGCAAAAAGCTCTTTAGTTAAAAATTATTAATGCACTACGAATAGCAGTCGCATGTATAACTAAGGTAGCAATATAACGACCCCAGTAATTTTATAAACTTGACAGGAAGTCTTAGTAACTTTCCTCCGTTGGCTTTCAACTTAATGGATTTGTATGCTTATCCGCCGTGTATTTTCCCGATTCTTGGGGCATATGAAAAATATTATACTTCATCAATACTGTACTAGTAAACGAGATGGAGCCAGCCAAGGCAATAGATCGTGCTATATAAGTTTAATTTAACAAATTAACATAATTACAGATATGCACTTTAAGTGTTATGATTATTATTATTAAGTTATGAAAGTTACGTACCTCGCCGTGCACAAGATCATCATTCGTAGGAATGGGGGTTCCGTTCACTACCGAGGCCATCGTCACGTTACTTGCGCAAACAATTTTTTCACACTCCCACTGTCACACTTTATGGAGTTCGATTTCCCACTGCGGCCGTTCGTCTTCGTTACTCTGTTTTTTTCTTCTGGTTCTGTTATTACGAGTACTGTTGAAACATATAAAGTAAATTCGATTTGATTGTTTTCGTTTCTTATATTTCGCCTGAACAATGTATGTAATGAATGGCTTTGTGATTTTGATCTACCTGTGCACGTTTTCGTAGAAACTGCGTTTAAAAGTGTTTTCTTATTCGTCTGTTACGATCACTGCTGTAGCCTAGAGAGTCCAGTTTGTTTGAATGGGGAAACCAAGACCAGATTGTTATCCATCGTCCAATGAATATTAGGTGTTGACGTGAGGCCTCTTTACCCAGCAATTTTACAGCAATTTCAAGTGCTGGAATCGGTCACTAATTCTACTTCTATCGAAAGTATCCGACACAAAAATTAAAACCGGTACGGAAACACTGCAATCACAGAGCTGCATTGCATTCTTATCTTCTCACTTAGTAGAAGAACTTCACATTACCATTATTGTCCAAGCAGCATTTGTTATTCTTTTGAGCCCGCTTGAAGTTCACCACTGGCTAGACGTCATTTAGACTATCAGTGATTATGAAGTTACTTTAGTACATCTATGCCGTGCGCCGTTCTGTACTTGTTATGGTCAGCCTCTGCATGACACAGTGAAGTCGAGCAGTTTTCTTAAGCTTCGCGCAACGACGTGGACGAGACCTTTCAAATATACCTGCTAAATCAGCTTACTGACGCTAATGGTCAGTTAATTCGATTATTATTGATACCACCGGCGCTATGATATCACACAATGACGAGCGTTATGTCTATGGTTTCGGAGTGATGTATTTACTTGGCATCAGCATACGGATAAGTTCTTTGATTATGTAAAGTAACTGATAATTGAACACTGTTATAGTCACCGTTTTGCAGTAAAATTGATCAGTCATTAACCACGAATTTGCGCTCCCCTCAGGTGCGCGATATTTATTTATTACAGGAAGGAAGCGCCATACTTTTCTGGTAAACATTTGTAAATTTTCGTATTCTTTCTTGATCAGCCGCAGTGGGCTTTACAGCCTATCTGTCTCCTTCGTCCAAAAATTGTAAACTATACCCATCGCTAGATCCCCTAAATTTGTCCAACATAACGTTTTACTTTGTAGGAAGTTATTAGTTTTCCAGTCTGCAATGATGAGGTAATATTTTGATTCTACTCAACATAGTAGATAAAATTACCCATTACAGTATAAAGTAAGTCAACTTGCTTGTGGCCAGAAACGATAGTCATTGGCCAACCATTTGCCACTTATTGGTGCATATCACTGCTTTAAAACACGAACCGACGCAATGAATGCTCCAGAGGCAGCTGTCTTTCCGACCTGATGATCACAATTACTGGTACGTTGTTGTCTTTCGATTTAGCCGGTTTCACGTACGTTGTTTTCTTTTAAACTACCGAATCACTTACACAAAGGACACTAGTTGCAGCGGCCTTAACGTCATCTATGTCATCATCATCATCATCATCGTTACGATCATCACTTGCGTAGACAGTTACACTCGGATAATCGCGCACAAACACGCGCTTTTCACTACCCTCGTTCTTAGTAGTACTGAACTATAATTTAGCCCTCTGATGATTTAAGGTAACTTGTTGAGTGATAAGCAAAATCCTGAATTTGCATGCTTTTATAGTCCAACCACGGCAGGTTCTGCAAACGCAAAATACGCCACGTGAACCGTTAAGAATCCCCTCACAATTACAGGGGACTAGATACTGTAAAGTAGAAATAGGTAAAATGATAAATGACAGATATGTATTACCCAGCAATTGTGTAGGCTTGTTTAGCTTGACTTCGTTAATATTGATAGTGGATGTATATTAGCTGTCATATGTAGTTCCAGTGTTCGGTGTTGACATTTCCAGCCTTTGGGGATTCACATGGTAACCCAGTTACAAATCAGCCTGCGTTCTTTTGCCTTTTCCTTGAGATGTTTGTCTCGATGATGACGAACAAAGTTGTCGATGGTCTTTTCCCTTTTCCTTTCAACTTCAGGTTCGAAGTTCTAAGGTGTTGATCAAAAGCGCAATGGAAGAGAGCAGTACACTCGTCTTGCTGTAATAATCAACTTACAGTTTGGTTGTCGCTAGTATCAGCATTGGACGGATAACAGGTGATGACTAAGAAAACTTAAAAGCAGTACTTTTACGGCCAAGAAGAAATACTTAAGCTGCAGTAGAAATTCGATAGGGAATTGCAGCAACAAAACTACTCGTTTTTGCTCGTGCTCCACTTGAGCGCTGCTGAGTTGAGTAGGACTTCGATCATTCTACCATTACAAGCTCACATCCACTGTACATAGATGGCCCCAGCATGCTGCGGACCGATACTGATCGTAATAGCAGCAGCACACGGTTAAAGCACCCGAAATAGTCGCAATCACAGCACATGCATCAAATGACCGTGACTACCAACAATATGTAATTGAGTGACTATAATACGCAGGGTCGCTAAAATGTCTATAGTAAACAGTACTGCTTCTTTAGAACAGGCACAGCCGATCGTCGAAGAGCTGTATATTATTATTATTATTATTACAGATCAGTTTAGCGCTCAGCTATCTTCGGACTTCGGAGATTTTTTGACAGTGTTATATACACGAATCAGTCTGGCTACAGCTTAACAGAACAGCAAGCGTAACAGTAGTACGAATAGTTTTACATCAGAAATTACTAACGGCTTTGTTTCCTCCTGAGCAATTCACCTCCAGCGCATTTTTCTGCTGAACGGTACTATAAGAGGCACGACCTGTCGTCGACGACGTCGAACGCGACTCTTTCACGAGACAAGCGAGCTTATGGCGATAGCGGTCACGACAGGCGCAGTAAAAGGAGCAACATCCGAAACCCAACGGCGGCCGCATTGGAAGAAAGGGGCCCTCCGCCAATTCCAGCACTCGTACGCTGTCACCGCTGCTTCACTGGGGTTAGTTCATTTAGTGCAGTTCAATCGCACGCTTCACACGACACTGTTTACTCCAGCCCGTCACTGCGCTGCGTGTTCACCAACATCGGAGTGGACTTGTTATTGTTGGAACTGTACCATTTTGTGGGTCGATGTCGGTGTGTCCGGATCTGTGTCGTTGTCTGTTTGCCGCTATAATGCCCTTGGACGTTGATGTTTTTATTTTTACTCGTACTGATGCTGTTGTCATCCATACGTGTCAGCGTAGACTCACTTGATCTCGGATAGCCTACTGCGTCTCGTTTGCCTTATGGGGATTATTCATCAATGATGCGCCGTGCTACTTCTGCATAACCACGGTTGAAGAAGGGCTGGCTGACTGACATATTACATACAAAACTCATACAACAGCAGCATCTGAAACGCAGCAGGGGCAAACTTAGCAGAATTTAGGGCCTAGGAAGCTGGTAGCCGCTAGGACGGCAACGGGCCAATCCTGAATGGATCCTGCTGCCCCCTATTACTTATGCCAGTTCCGTCGAGAGCACCATGAGGGTGCACAGTTTGCTTTGCAGCGTTGCAATGGAGCAGAAATTACCAGCCAGCGCTGATTGTCCAGTGGCTGCTGCGACAACCCCCGTCCGGGACTACTCAGCAGACGGACAGACACACTGTGGTGCTCACTTTCGACGAGCATCAACACACCGACAACACTGCTACAGTAGCAGCGCCAGCAACAGCTAGCGAACCGGGCAGGAGCTCGCTGCCTCGAGTTCGGCTGCTTGCTGGCTGGCACGCACACGCAAGATCAGACAGACAGACAGTCAGATAGCTTTACTCTGTTTCGTCCGCAGCGGTGTGAGCGGAAACAGCGCAGACTCGGCGGTCAAAGCGGCAGAAGTGCGGCCATCACAAGACATTAATAGCGGCGGCGGCGGCGGCGGCGACGACCAACCGTCGCTATAGGAATAACCTATTGTCTATGACGAGCAGTGTTGAGAAAAAAAAGACGAATAGATGCATCCACACTCCTACCGTACTTCTACTCCGTAGTAGTGTAGTCCAAGTGCGGTTAGTTGTGAGGCACTCTACGTCCAAGAAAACTATTAACTTCTATTTCTCTCACCCACAGCAAATAGCACCATCCGCTAGCAATAGTACCACACTACATTTGAAATGTGCCATAAAACGTGCCCGACAACACTAGGACACAGAGTCCTGCAAACTCACTAGCGCCCTTATGCCACCATTATAGCGCATTTTTGATGTATATATATACATTTCTGATGTAACACTGCTCTTCACTAAAAACGGTGGGCACAGATTGACGAACGGAAAGTTATTCTGTCTTATTGATGCTATCGATTAGCTTTATTTTAGGATAACAGAGAACCTACAGGTCGACATAGATAACTTTATAAGCAATCAAAACATACGGTACATTTATCATAGTATATTTTAATCCAAAATCAAATTTGATGTTTAAAATCACAACGTATTTCCTAATTGTCCAGCGTAAATTGCGTTCCTCGAAAGTTCTGTTTAGAAAACTCACAACTGTATAACGAACAATGTTTTTACTTCGTAAAATCAAACGAATTCCTGTCATAACGATCCTACAGGTTTTCCTCATCATCGGGCCCAAGAGGTTGTCGCCACTCAATTTGTGCGGTAGCCTGTGTGTTGGGCCAAGCCAAACCTCTAAAAATATTCAAGACCATTACATTCCTTCCCAGGATCGGCCCACTCACGACGCACATACTCGAGTTTAACCCGTTTAATGGAATAGAATATGATTAGCGATCGCAATTTCCCCGGCCCCTTAAGCGATGCTTTCCGTATTTGAGATAAATCCTGATTGAAAAACAAAAAAGCGAGCTCAAATATAGTTACCTCCATGGACTACTACAATAAAATTTATTTTCACAACAAATAAATCGTAACCTTATTCTTTATTTTTGAAAAAAATTGGCATCGTTTAATTATAAGAATAATCTTGTTTATTTTTCTTTGAGCAAACTTCGTCGCAATCTTGGGTAAAAACATGTTCATACGATTTAGAAATGTTTGATTGCAAAATTCAAGTTTTAATCTCTGACGAAAAACACTACGTCATTAAGTATTTTCGTCTCATCTTGGGCTCGAGTAAACACGTCGAATTTGTTTTTACCCAATCGCATGCATTAATTCAAGCTGCATGCCATTTAACGAATAGATGTTTATCACGGTTCTTCCTTGATGTGTTTTATGCAATAGCTTCCATGCAAAGATAGTATATTTTTAAGTCGAACGCACCACTAATGGATCTCTTTGACAGGCTGCGGCTGTCCCTCAGCGGAACGGTTTGTGATACCAAAACCAGTCGTATCAAATTGTACCACAGGTTGACACAGCCACCCTTTCTTGTCTGCTGTTGTCGTTCTAGAAAAACTCATCACTCTGCTTAGCATACGACAAAAACTTGAGTAGGCGGCTGCAGCAGCAGAACGCAGCAGGCGTTCGTTTGGCCGCGGAGAGTTCTGACTGAATGAGTGAGCTATGCCGCTTAAACAACAAAACCCCAAGCAGCAGCCGACCGTCGATGTGCGACCTGGCCTTCCGCTGTTGTACCGTCAATGTTGTTACGCCGACTCCAATATTGTGATTATTGTTGCAGTGACTGTGTCTGTGATGGTGGCGAAAGAAAAACATCAACATTGTTCAAGTACAGTTTGTGTACGGGTTGGCTAAAGAACTCGCTCCACGAAAAAAACTGTATCGTATCGATAGATAAACTATCAGGGCTAATAAATTTTATTAAGACCTTCACACTTAACTCACGCGAAGATCTACTCCAGTGTTGACCGTCAGTCATCAAATTGGTAGGTTCATAAACAAATTCAATGGTTTCAAAGGATGCCGGTTGCTGCACATCAAATAGGTATTATTTGTATACATTCGTCATGTCTCTGTGCTTATGCAGTGGTACGAATATAGCATTCAGCCCTATTTAGATGTATGTACTTGCAAGCATCGAGCCATTCGATATCAAATCCAGATAAATGTTTCTATAATAAATGCTATATTAGAAACCTTCATCGTACGCACATCATGTCATAATTCGCACGTAAGCCTTTGCGCGTAAAATTCCTATTCAAGGGATCACTCCTTGCCTAAGGCTAGATGTTTTCGCATTTATTTGTTGTAAAATATAGAAGAATTGCCAATTTTTGTCAGTTTATAGAAGCTACATTGAAAATTTAGTGGCAACAACTTTTTATGAATAGGTAAATTAATGTTATATAAACTTAATTCTAAAATACAAGCACTGGATAGACGGTACTGTGACTTAAATACTAACATGATCTCAATACTTAAATAAAGTCCGATGGTAGTGTATTTCTCTATCTAATTAGGGGCAGATTAGGTTATCTATATTCGAGATGCTGGAAGCCAGTCGTACTCAACAGTACTCAATCGCAAGTGAAATGAAACACAATTAAAATTAACTTGGCGTCTATTGTAGCATCGTGTACAACTCTAAATAGGTCGAGGTTAATATTTTTTCGGAGAGTTGTTCACTATAGGATTCCCAACTAAATCAGTCTCCGTCTTCTATTTTGTTGTCTAAAAAATGTGGAAAAGTTTTCTTACGGCACTCAATTTGAATACTTTTTTGGAGAGTTCACTTTAATATTTTGTGCAGAATTCAGTATTCTGACGCACCCATAATATTATTAACATAGCGTTTTTTTGAGTTTATATTCGTTCTATGCACGGCCAGAATCAACAAGATAATTAATTAAGTAGGTTGAAACCCAGCCGACTTTCACTAGATTTCATCGCTACGACAGCTCTACATAGATCATGTGTCTTGATGTTTGACTGGGTGCTTGGGGTGCCCTGATAACGGCGGTGCATTTTGCATCATTACTTGGCAAATTGAACAAGGAAAAACGGCCGCGTTTGCGAACACAAGGTAATGTTTTACCAAAACAACGCACCATCATACAAGCCAGTGGTCGTTATCGTAGAAGTTTACAAATAAAGGTTTGAATTGACTGATCACCGTATATACCCGGTCAAACCTTCAGCACTTTTTTAGGCTTTCTAGACGTAAATTATCGCTTCGGAGAACAGATTTTTTTATCGAATGAGCAAGCTGTCATATTCTTAACCGCTTAAGATGCCAACTACTATTTTGAAGGTTCAAGAAGACTGTTTAAAGTAAGCATTTGAGAAAGAACTTCTTCCAGTGTTAAACTGAGAGTTTTTCGGATTACTTCTATTGAAATATATGTAAATCATTGCATTATTTAACCGTGCCTTATTCTTTCGTCAATGAATTGCATAGGTATGTCTGTAATAAACTGAAAAAAGAGGTAGGTATCATCGGACCGAATCTTTACGGGTACCATCAAATCTGCTAATATTTTTTACCTGTTTTTTCTACAGAACCTTTGTCATTGACAAAATGTTAGCACACATCCATATCTGACGCATAATAATTGCAGAAGTAAAACACTATAAATAAGAAGACATAGTAC